TTCAGAGATCATAATAATCTGGCCACCCAGAGTATAATTTTCTTTGCTTAATAACAGATCTCTCCACCTAACCTTCGAACCTCTTAAGTATTCTCCAAAGACTTTTCCTTGATCATCTTTCTATACAAATGTATATTAGCAAATCCATGAGTTTGTGCAATTGTTGCCTTCATGCAGATAACTCTTAAGCATAGCATTTACTCAGTGTTGCCCTGGTCAAGATTTAACCACCAGTATTCTGGGGGAAGGCCCTATTTATAGCACTTGCTGCTATTTGTGGTATAAATACTACAGCCTTAGCCCATTGCAAGCTACCCACATGTCTTCACTGAACACAGAATTGGAAAGATATACAGATTAGCATACATTACACAGTATTTCTATCATGCAGATATGTTAGAGATAAATAATCTCAGAAACATATGTAACAGTAGAGTGTAGCAAAATAATTAAGAAATTATTAGTTTTAAATATTTATTACCTTTAAATATATATTTAATTGTGGATTTGTATAATTTCATTTTTAATAATGTATGTGTCTAACAACTGGCTCACAACTGGTTCACTCTAGTAAACCACTGTCTAGTTCAACCTCTCCAGCAGAGTCTGATCCCGCACTCTCTACCACCTGCCGAACAACGCTACCCGGGTCTCTTCCATATGAAACCACAAATATAACATACTGAAATCTAAACTCACTTTCCTCTTTGAATCTCCTTAGCGCACACTTCTCTTCCCCTCTTGACTTCCCTATTTCTATTAATGGTGCCTCCAAAAGCCATCCAATCAGTTACTAGTCTTGAAGGTTCTGCCCCCTCCTTTTTTCATTCTAATTAGGGTTGCTGTCTTATTCAAGGACAATCAACTGACCTCATCTCCTTCATGTTCTTCTCATTCTGATTTATGTGCTAATACTATTAGATTCATTTTTCAAATGTAGGTCTTCCATTACACACACACATACACATGCACACTTCTCTCTATAATCTGGCCTTGAAAGCGCTCCTTGCTCCAAGCAATCTAGACAGCTCCTTGTTGCAGTGCTTGGAATATGCCTTGTGGTTTCTGGCTGTATGCTTTTGCTCACACTTTCCCTTACACAGGAGTGTTCTTTCCTCATCATGAAAAAACTCATACCTTATACCCAAGACTCCATTTCAATGGCGATGGAAATATGCAGGTGGATTGTCATAGGCATATATAAGTTTATGAGAATCAGAATGTTGGGAACACACAGGAAAGGCAAAATCCAGGAATTAGTAATTTAGTCACTATCTCATATGGAGGCTCTAGGAAACATTTTACTTCCCCCGTGGTTATTACTAAAAGTTTACAGCTAGCTAACATGAGGTTTACCTCAAACCTATGGATTGCAATTTCACATGATCCAGCTGTCTGTCATTCATTAACTGAAATCATCAAGAATTTTATGTATTTGGTGTTTACTGTAATTATCTCCCTCTTAATGTTCTGACCCAAATTGTGTTGAGGTAGTGAGGAAAGGTGAGCAGTGAGAGACATAGAGTCCCTAAAGCCTTGTCTGTCACCATCATTGATAAAATCCATTCATACACATCTTTCTTCCCCAGTGTTCAGAGTAAAATAAGATGCTTTACGTGCTTGCTTTCCTGAGGAGAATCATGATGACATCAGTAAATGATTCCTTTTCTTCCGGATTTCAGAGATGGGCTGACGTTTCCTAGTCAAGGAAGAAGAAATAGACTGACACAGCCCTGTGGTCACTTGGTATCCACTTTCCCATGGGCTTGAGTTAATTTGGGTTAGTGAGACTCCAAATTCTTAGCGCGGGAGAGGCGACAGAGAATAAAGTAGGGGGAGGTGGTGAGAAAAGGTAAAAATGTATTGAGCCAGATTGACAGTCAGTGGTCTGGACACCTCTTCCACCATTGTCCCTTTGGTACTTGTCTAAAAGGCAGATTCCTGGGCCCCGCGTCAGACCTACTGTATCATTGTCTCCAGGGGGCCTACCTGGGACTGTGCATTTTTCATGGTCACACCCAGTGATTCTGATACAACACTGGAGACTAAGGATCATGGTTTCATGTAGGCCTGCAGCCTGGACACAGCTTTTGAGCTCAAAATGTTTTTTACATTTCTAAAGCGTTGGTAAAAGAGATGGGGGTGAGGAGAAGAAGAGAGAGGAGAGGAGAGGAGAGGAGAGGAGAGGAGAGGAGAGGAGAGGAGAGGAGAGGAGAGGAGAGGAGAGGAGAGGAGAGGAGAGGAGAGGAGAGGAGAGGAGAGGAGAGGAGAGGAGAGGAGAGGAGAGAAAAGGAGAAGAGGGGAGGGGAGAGGAGGGAAGAGGAGGGGAGAGGAGGGGAGAGGAGGGGAGAGGAGGGGAGGGGAGGGGAGGGGAGGGGAGGGGAGGGGAGGGGAGGGGAGGGGAGGAATACAGAACACAGTCATCTGGCCCTTTCTAGAAAAGTTTGCTGACTCCTGCCTAGTGCTTTGCAATTAAAATCCTGTGTCTGAAGTTAGCACTATCCTAGCCCTGCCACAGCTAAAATAACTGATTCAGCAGATTTTTTAAAAAAATTGAGAGTAATGAAAAATATATAAAGTCATTTAAAATGTGTTTGTAATTAAAGTGGGAAAAGGAAATGTATATAGTTACAGTGAACATTCAGCAATGTTTTTGAAAATATGTTTTATTCGCACAAGGATTTATGGTAGAATATTATATCCTATCCTCCCATACACTTATTAGGTGGCAATATATCCCAAATTAGCCTAGTAAGAATCATTGCTTGTATACTCTTTATTAGACTAAACTTGCCCCCCAAATATATTTTTGTCACACACATATAAGGGACAATGTGAACTGATAACCCAAAATGTCTGGGGAATGAAAGTAGTATAAATTCTCAAGACAACACATAGGAAAATGATGCACAAAGGAAATAATGGAATTTGGTATCTTTCCCCTTAAAAGGAGTTTAAGAATCATAGAGCTGTTTTAACGCCTAAGAAACCTTGGGAAGAGGCTATGAAGTCACTTTGGGAAATGTTCAGATATTCTCAATGTGGCAGAGGCTCAGCGTTTGGGAATCATGCCAGTTAGATTCATAAAATAATCCCAAAGACAGAATGCAATTCCTTTACAAGTGGTTTCTAGATATTTTTAAATGTGCTTATTTTTTATGTGGAGAAACTTTGTTCAAGAACCTAGCAATAAACACGGGCTTTGAAAACATATAAACTTCCCAGTGACTTGTCTTTCAGAATTGTGAACTGAAATATCTCACAATAATTTTGTTTCAGTGTTGTTGTTTTTCTCACAAAGAAAGGAATGTTTTACTCTTACTAGCAACTAACATTTTTGATAAGAATTTAGACTGTATTTCAATTTTTAAGAAACAAAGTTTGAAACACCAGATAAAGTCTTGAAACCTAACATGCTTCGCCATTTAATAAAATTATGACTCATTTCAGTAAGAAAATGCTTTTTTAGTAAGAAAAAAAATGCTTTCTGAGCTAAGTTTGAACTGCCGGGGGCACATGGGACACCCACAAACCCAGTCAGCAGAAGTCTCAAAACTCCTATAAGATTAAAGGAAAAATAAATTAGTGTATACAGAGAATGAAGAAAAAAAAATCCCCCATGGTACAAGTCTATAAACGGAAGTAAAACTAAAACTCCCCTAAAATCCCCCAATCATCAATCCTTATAAATGCAGCACTCATCTCCTCCCTTTACTTCTCTTCAGGAGCCCCTAGTGAAATGCACACGAACAGTTTGGGACGATTTTTATCTTGCAAAACACTAAGCAAGGATACCGACCTCCGCATTACAAACTGTTTAACTTTTAAAGCTGCGCGTGCGAACAGGGGGGTCCTTGAGTTGCGCTGGGGGCGCGCCGCTTGGAGCCCCTGGACTCTGCAGGTGTCTGCACCGATCCAGCGCGATCCCGGGAGCGGGTGCGGGGCGGAGGCGAGCCGGGGGTGCCGCCCGGGCCGGGCCGCGTGGGTGGGGCCGGGCGTGCCCGGGGCGAGAGTGAAGGGCCTGTGACTGCGCGGAGGTGGCGCGTGGGCTCCAGGATCTAGGAGGGTACCGAGAGCTCCGCGGGGGCGTCCCGTATATGAACCGTGATCGCCCCGGCTCCACTCCAAATGTGTGTCCTTTTGCACCAACCAGTTACATTAGAATTAAAAAAAAAAAAATCTAGCCTAACTTCCTATGAAAATATATATATGCTCCCATTCCTACTATTCGCCCCCACCCCCTCTCCAAACCCCCGTACCCATTTCCAGAAATCTGACTTTTAAACCCGGCCTCAAACCCAGTCCCTACTGCGGCAAGTCGCGCCCCTCTCCCCACCTCGCTGCGCGCCCATCGCCGCCCCCGCAACAGTGAGTCAAAGCCCGGCGGCGCGGGTGCCGGTGCCCCGGAGCGTGCCGGGTGGGGAGGCCGCCGAGCGCAGGAGAGAGGCGGCTTCAGCGCGACGTGGCGCGGGCCCTGGCGGCCGGGGCCGGGGAGCGGGGTTTGCGCAGGAAAAGGCGCCGCCGCCGCCGCCGCAGCCTCCCCGGCCACCCCCTCCCTGGCCCTGGGCTCCCCGCCCGCGCGCCGCCCGGGCCTCGGGGCGCGCCAGGCGCAGCGCGGGGCGCGGGAGCCCGGGAGGCGCGGCGGCCCGGCCGGCTCCGCTGCCCCGCGGGCGGCAGCCAAGGCGACCGCGGAGGCGGCGGGCAGGGCGCGTGCGCACTGCAGGGGCGCCAGATTTGGCGGGAGGGGGAGTGTCCAAGGCTCTTTGTTTGATGGCATCTCTGTTTACAGAGTTTACACTTTTATATCAACCTGTTTCCTCCTCCTCCTTCTCCTCCTCCTCCTCCGCGACCTCCTCCTCCTCCACCTCTTTCTCCCGAGAAACTTCGCCCCGGAACGCCGCTGCGCAGCCGGCGAGGACGCAGGCAGGCGGCGGGCAGCGGGAGGCTGCAGCCCCTTGCGGTCCCCGCGGCTCCCGGCGGAGCCCCGCGCCCGCCGCGCCATGGCCCGGAGACCCCGGCACAGGTAACGGGGAGCCCGGGAGGGGCGGCCGGGGGTCGGGGCGCGCGCGGGGCGAGAGGCTCCCGGAGAGCAGGTGGGAATTGGATCCGGGATCTGGCGCGGGGCTGTCAGATCCTGCGAGTCCCCAGGACCTCTGCCTCCGCGGCTGAAGCCGCTGGAAAGACGGATGAATGGAAGAGCCGGTGCAGGAGGAAATGTGTCAGGACGCCGGGAAGCACTCCCCGCGGCTCGTTTTGCAAGTTGCGCTTCTCTGTAGGGGAGAGGGAGCAGCACGATCCTGCGCGGGAGTGAGCGGTGCCCACCGGCCCCGGGGAGCTCACCGGGGTCCCCGACTCGATGCCGCGGATGTCGGCGAGGGAGTCGCGGCATCATTGCTGGGTGCATTACGATTTGTTTGAACTTGAGAATGCCGTGCATATGGCAGAGGGGAAATGCCGGATTGTGCAGTAGCTGCAGGTAGTTCATTTAAATTTCATTCATTCTTTATGGAGTCTAAGAAGAGCGTCAGGTGACTGGCGGCTGTGGGGGAAAAATCTATTTATTTTTTCGGGGAGGGAATGAGTCTGTCTACATTTGCAAAATGGGTTTGAGCCCTGGCTTGGAAGGTTCTAATCATTCTTCTCTGGGGGAAGTGATGATTTCTAATGCAAACATTTCACACGCGCCGCCGGCCGGCGCTGCACATGTCACCGCGCCTGGTTGGGGCGGACGGTTGAAGCCCCCTTGCATGTCGGCCGGATGAAGGGGACGAGGGGACGGAGCGGGAGGGACACACGGGTCCCAACTGTCAGTTGCTGGCGCTCTGGCTCCCACCCGATCCCCGGACTTCCCAGACCGGACGCGCGGGAGCCCGCTCAGAGCGGCCGGGTGCGGGGCCAGCTCGGCGGCCCTTGGCGTTGCCACTCAACGGCCAGGACGGAGTCGGGCAGCACCCAGGGCGCTGCCGCGCAACCGGGACGCGATCCCCGGGGGCTCTCGCCCTGGGCTCCAGGTTCCCGGCGAGAGGCGCGCACACGTGGATGCGGCCGCGGTGGCCGGCTCCTCCCCGCACCGTGCTCCCGCCGCCGTGGGTCGCCGGGGCGGAGGAGGGGTGACCGGACGGACCCCAGCGAAGAGATCTGGGGTGGGGGTGGGGGGGAAAGTTCCAAAAGGCAAAGCAAACCCAACCCTTTTTCCTCCTTCGGGTTGTTTGGTTTTCTTGTACTTATTTGTCTTTGAACCTGCTATTGCCCGTTCCCCGCGCAGCACTGGGACGTTGCAGAGAGCGTGGGTGTGGGCCGTGCGGCAGCACCCTCGGACCCAGGACCCAGTCTGGCCGGATGGAGAGCAGCGCCGAAGCGAGGGATGGGCGCCAGAGGAAAAGGGAGGCGACCTGGGGGTGGTGTGGGGGCTGACTCCCTGCGCCTGAGCGGGGCGAGGGTGCTGCTCCTTAACTGGTTTCACCTTCGCTTTTGGGGCTGAGCAGTGGAGAGTCAAGGTCGCCTATTTTTTATTTTACTTTTTACTCCTGAGAGCAGAAACTGGGAGGAAGTGGAGGGGAGCTGGGAAGGGGTGCTGGGGGAGGCCGGGTGGACGCTCCGCGCGGGGAGCTCTAGATGCACCCGGCGGGGCGGGGCGGGGCGTCCGGTTCCCTGGCTCCCAGGTAGCGGCGGGGGAGGCGGCCCGGCAGGGCGGGAGCCTTGAACCTGCCTCGGGGCGGGGGAAGAGAAACCCGGCTGCGGCCTGGAGGAGCCGTTTCTTGCAAAGGCCGGCGTCAAACAGGGCAGGGATTCTTAACCAGGTCAGCGAAATGAGTCTGAACCCCATTTCTAGAATCACAGTAGCGGCCACAAGACACATCCTCCCGCTCCCCTCCCTCTTCCCAAAGCTCCCCCCCACCCCCAGCACCTCTTTTCTTTTCTTGTTTCTTTGCACGGTTTGTTTCCTTGACAGAAGGTCATATTCATAGTTGTACTCCTGTAACCGCACCAGGTCTAGCAGGTGGGGGAGTCGAGTGCATCAAGCCTGAAATCAGCCTTTGAACAAGTTCTCTGACTGTTGGGTCTGAGATCTTGTCAGTACAGATGAAGGGAAGAGTTATTTCAGGGCCCTTGGTAGAAATTAATCATGCTACCTAGGCGATCCGGACAACTCGGAGCAAGGAAATCACATGCAAATCTCAAAGGCGAGCCCCCTTGCTAATCCATTGATGGACCAGGAGCGTCTGAGCAGCCCTGGGCTCGCTCTGCTCCCCTCAAGCCTCCTTCTTCCTTCAGGACCTGCAGAAGTCACACGCCACGTTTCCCCCCAAAAACGTTGCTTTAGCACATCTCTGCTTCTGTGCTTAATGTTTAAGAGGCACGGAAGTCATGGAACCATTATTTATTCTCACTGGAAAGTACCTTAGAAATAGAATCCAAGCCCTTTAAAGTAGACGCAAGGAACTGAGGTCCTGAGAGAGAGGAAGTGATTTGTCCAAGTCCTGCAGCTAGGCTGGAGACAGAACTAGGACTGGCACCTTTGCCTCCAGAATCCTAGTCCTATGTGATGCCTGTTCTCTCTCCACTGATGTTGGCTGCCCCCTATGGGTGGCTGAGTATGTTGCTTGTTTCTGGGAGTTGAGCTGTTTCCAGAGAGAGAAGTTCTGAAAATGTAATCTTCAGATCTCGCCAAACCTAAAAAACTTAAATTGAGTTGAATAGATGGGTCACTTTCAGATTACTCTGATTTTCTTGGTATCCCGGATATTTCACAAGGGTGACACTACATTTGGGGGATTTCCAAGAAGTTCCCTGTGAATCTTTCAAAAGATGCTGACCTACAGCTCTGGGCTTCTAATCATGGTTTCACTTATGATGCTTGTATTTTTTTTTTATTAAGGGAAACTATTGTAATTGTTGATCAGAAGTTAAGAGCCTCTTGTTGACACTGCAGAACTTCAGGCTTTACTTAAAGAGATAGGCACTAAATGAAAGAAATGGTTATAGATTACAAGTACAGTTTAATGTCCTTTTTGTGTGGATGATGCCTATTACTTTTGGATCACACCCTGCTTGTCACCATGCATCCTGGACCTTCAGATTGTTGCCCTAAATAATAGTTTTAAATGATAAAAACCTAAAATTCAGGGTTTTTGGTAAGCACTTTTGTTTGACTTATAAAGGATGGATAATTTATACTTGTAAAATAGTTTGAGGAGACATACCTAATGTGAATATAAACTTTCTTTTTAAAAAGAATAAGTTACATTATGATATTGCTTTATATCATTATTTTATTAGTCTCAGTGTTACAATAGTAAATTTTATTGAACTTTTTTAGTTGGCACAATTTTTTCTTCATATCTTAATTTGATAAGTAAAAATTATAAGTAAAAGTAAACTGTGACGGAAAAATTACTCTCATTATTCAGTCTACGATTAATAAACATTAAGTATAGAGTAACTTCAAAAGTCATCAATATTCATAGTTTGGGTCAACTAGGTAAAAGAAAAGACTCTTTTAAAACCCATCTGGGGGAATTCCTTAGTTTTGAATTAGATACATTTTAAGATATTTCAAATACCATTTAGTCAGAGATTTTTGAAAAAAAGAGTAAGATTCTGCCTATCAGGTGGCCTAATTACACATTTAGTTACTCTGGAAACTGAGTATTGTAAATGTGGCCACAAGTTGGATCAACTGGCCTAGAGTTTTGAAGTGTTTGCTATTAATGTTATTTACAATGTAGATCACTTGAATGTTTTATTCTTCCTTGATTTTTTTTTTAATCCTTTCCTCTTAGATTCTCTTAGTCTTCTAATCTTGAAGGAATGACTATATATTGTTGGGCATATTACTTCCTGAATGTTTTTCTCTTAATAAAACACCAGTCCCATTGGAAGAACATAACTGAGTTATTTATTATATTTGGGAAATATTTTTTAAATATTGTGATGTATGCTGAATATCTTGAGTGTATACTTACATAAAGGACATGGGCTCTCGTACCTTTTATTGTCCTTAATATTGTTTTAAACCTAAACCTTCATTGGTTGGAAGGTTGCCTGCCAAGTGTGTAACTTGTCACTGGTCTAACAGTAACAGCAGGTTTAAACATGCAGGGCAGTAAGAAAGTGCCAGGTCCTTTGCTGTATCTGTGGAGACCAATAACAGCAGAACCAGTTCCCAATACTAGAGCAACAGAATGCAGAAAACAATCTTGTGCAAGTTTTCAAAGTTTTATCATCTTAACCTTTGAAAAGATTGCTGGGTTTTTGTGGGATTTTTGTAATCCAATAGTTTAAACTTCTTGTTCCAGTCTGCATCTGCCCATTTTTTATTTCTGCAGCATATACAGTAGCGATGAGGATGATGAAGACATTGAGATGTGTGACCATGACTATGATGGGCTGCTTCCCAAGTCTGGAAAGCGTCACTTGGGGAAAACTAGGTGGACCAGGGAAGAGGTAACTAATCATGTTATTAAAACCTGGGGAGTAAAACCTAGAATGTATTACTTTATTAAAAACAAAATTTCAGCTAAAGTGTAGGTGCTCAAACTCATTGTCAGGCTCTTTGAAATCATATCTTAGCTTGCATGAGCAGCATACTCATATTTACCTCTCACTGCTCCCCATATGTGCACTATACCATCAATATCTACCCCTTTAGTAGTTCTTTGAATGTCCTCTTAATTTGTTTCATCTATGCTTCTTTCTGCCTATTCTGTTCTTATCCTTTTGCTCCACAACTTCTCACTACTTCTTCATTACCTGTGAAAATATCACCTCTAGTGCAAAGCCATCCTTCACTTTCCCAGGATACATCCTGCAATCATTGGTCACATGTTCTTATTATTGCTATAACATATATGCCTCTTTCCATAGGCGACAAGTCTACTGAGGGCAGAGCTATACATCTGTTCATTTTTGTGGCCCTTGAACCCAGAAGTGCTTAACACAAAGTGGACTATTAACAAATGCTCCCTGAACAAATAGATGGATTGCTATTTCCAAAAACAAAACGAACAAAAGAGTAAAAAAAGACCTCATAGAACTTGTTTTTAATGAATTCACTTAACATTCTTGAAATATTATCTATAATATTTCACAGATCCTTATACATGGAAATTGTTCAAAAAACAATAGATAAACTACCATTTGACCCAGTGATCTCACTGCTAAGAATACACCCTAAGAAGCCTGAAAGGATATATGCACCGTGTGTTCATAGCAGAAAGAATATATGCACCCCTATGTTCATAGCAGCATTGGTTACAATAGCTAAGATCTGGAAGTAGCTCAAATGCCCATCAGTAGATGAATGGATTAAAAAAAAAAAAACTGGTACCTTTAACCAATGGAATACTATGCAGCTATAAAAAAGAAGGATCTTTTACCCTTTGAGACAGTATGGAGGAACCTGGAGACTAATAATAATAATACTTATTATGCTAAGTATAATAAGCCAATCAGAGAAAGATAACTATTACTTGATCTCACTTATATGTGGAATCTAATGAAGAAAATAAATTAATGAATAAAACAGATCCAGAGACATTGAAACATGCAACAGATTGACTTATTTTGGGAGTAGTGGGTGGAGAGAGGTTGACCAAATAATTATATGCATATATGCATGGCCCATGGACAAACAATAGTGCAGAGAAGGACTGAGGAGGGGCTAGGAGTGGAGTGTAGGGGGTCAACAGAGCTGGAGGAGAGAAAAGGAGACCTTTGCAATACTTTCAACAATAAAGATTTTTTTAAAAAGCCATCAAAATGGAAGGAGATATATCTGCTTACCTTTTTCTGATAGCTAATTGAAAGCTTGATCTTTGTAAGAATGAAAAAAATATTTAAGGAGAAAATTATTAGTGTAAAGGAAAAGTTGCTTTTTCTTTGAAGTTTCAAAAGTTTTACAATTGATTTTTTAAGATTTTATGTTAGAATTAATAGTATTGGCTTTTCTGCAGTTTCATTCCACCCTGCTTCACATAAACTAGAATTCTTCTTGTTAGGCAGGCAGGATTTCCAGTAAGGTCCATAGGAAATACATAATTTACTTACGGAGATTTTGACTTAGGTGGTTCTTAGACATACTGAAGTTCTATTCTTAACACTGGTTTCCTCATTCCCATGTCTGTGTCATATCAGGGATCCACATCATGTGTGAAGTTATCTGTGCAAAAATGTGAGGGCTCTCTTTCTCTTGGTAGATCATGTTTAGAAAGAGTGAACTGAAAGATTTCCCACTGATGTTTGGTGTCTTCTGTGTTCTAACAAGTTTGTTTTATTAAGTTCTGTATTCTAATAAGTTTAAATTATGCATATCTTGATACAAAAACTAAACGACTTTCCTTACATCATACATATCTTTAAGTTTAATTAAGAAAAGCGATCTTCCATTTTTTTCATTTGTAAGGGGTTAAAATAACTAAATGTTAGAATGGTGGTTGAGCTAGTTCTTACTTGAGATCCTATCTATTGCCATGTCTAGTTAAATGCCTTGAATCTAACATTGGAGTTCTTTTTTCCTCCCACAGAGTAAAACTTTAGTAGTAACCATGTTTTAAACATTCAATGAGCCAGCTATTATGCTAAATGTTTTGCATAGTTACTTCATATGATCCCCAAATATATATAGATCCCTTAGTCACTACTTAGATGTAGGGGATGGGGAGGGAAACAAGTCTAGAAGCATTAGACAAGCATTCCCATTATATAGATGACAATACTAAGGCCCAGAAAAGCAAAATGATATGATCAAGCTTATACAAGTAATTAATAGATGAGTCAAGGTTCAGTCTTTGGTCTCTCTAACTCTAAATAAATCTATTCTCTAAATCAGTATGCCACATTAATTATCTATTGTATTTGGATATTTTGAGAGATTTTTTTTTTTTGTGTGTGTGAATTAGGTTATTGAATTGATTCCCTTTACTCTAACTTGAATAGAGTTTTACAGTAAATGACTGATGTCCTTGGATTACCTTTAAATGTCTTAGGATGAAAAACTAAAGAAGTTGGTGGAACAGAATGGAACAGATGACTGGAAAGTTATAGCCAATTATCTCCCGGTAAGTTAGTAATTTTTTCTTTTTGTAAAAGGAAATCTCCCAAAATTTAAGTAAGATATTTTGGAAGAGTATGTTAAGACATTACTTATTTGCTATATATAAGAAGTTGGGGGAGAAATGCCTCATCCATAACCTAGTGATATTATAATACATATAATTGGGGTTTCTGAATCTATTATTAAAGGATTTATAACATTTTCAAATGTTTGCTTCTTATTTTATCTTTTCATTTGTTAGATCATATAAATATCTTTTAATTTATAGGATACTATAAATTAGCACTCTGGTGATTTGTTACATGGTAAATGACTGACCTTGTGATATTTCCCCCAAACCAGCGTCTTTTAAATTTCCTTAAAAAAAAAAAAGTCATATTTTGGTAGCTCAGTTTAAAATTTCTGAGTCCTTCTAGACTTGTTTCCCTCCCCATCCCCTACATCTAAGTAGTGACTAAGGGATCTGGAATTCCTTTGTCATTGGTCTTTTAATTCTCTTCACTATTCTCTCTTTCCTCTTCTCTGGATGATTACAGTGGCTTCCTACTTAGAGCTTTCCACTTTTTTATTCTTTAGCAGAGGAGCTTCCCAAAATGCAGCTGTACCTTATCTTTTCAAAACCAACAACAGTAACCTAGTTTCACAAATTAAGTGCACTGCCCGGACCTGGCACGCAGGGTCCTCCCATATGGCCCCAACATTCAGCTCCAGTTCTGTTTCTGACTTCCTCTCTGTAAGCAGATTTAGTTGAATTCGTGTCTGCTTTCCCTCCTCTGGGTGTTTGTTCCTGGTGATGCGACGTACTAGAATGTTTTGCATGGGTACTTCACGTCCTTCAAAGTTCATAACAAGAGCTTTTTTGGTCACCTCCCAAGGAAACATCATTTCTCCTTCTAAAGAGGTTCCTTTTCTCACCCCAATATCATTTTGCTTTGATTTCTTCTTGCCTGTGAATCAAATTCTGCCTTCTATTCATTATGTATTTGTCTTCACCTTCTTATAAGATTACAACCTCTTATAAGGTAGGGCCTATCTTTATTCATCTTTGTTCTGAATATAACACTGGTAGCCCTACATTGAAGCACATCTCTTAGTTTGAATGGGAGTCACTAGAGTGGGTTTCCATAAAAGCCTGACCTTAATATAGAATCCCTAACAGGCTTAGTCTTAGTCCTAGCTACTTTCACATGCAACAGACTGAGGTTAAGGTTAAGTTCACAGCCATACATGCAGTATGATGCTCATTTTGCTCACATGGCAGGACTGTTGCCCTCAGGAGGAAGAACTTACATTTTAGATGCAACTTTGACATATTCTTTGTATGTTCCTTAGCTGTAAGCAATGAGGGGTAGGTGGGCTCTCCAAACATGCCCTAGTATGTTGTTGATCATTGTCACTGTATATTATCTATGTGTGATTCATATTATAACAAAATCTTAGTGTGTCCTTATCACATCATATCTATATGACAATGCATACTTTGTCTTATTTGTCTAGAACAGAACAGATGTGCAATGCCAGCATCGATGGCAGAAAGTACTAAACCCTGAGCTCATCAAGGGTCCCTGGACCAAAGAAGAAGATCAGCGAGTAAGTTCCTTCTTCATTGTTATATGAGTCATAATTAAGAATATTCCTCAGACTACTTCTTTGAATGTCTCCCAACTTGAAGAAACAGGTAAAGTGTGCAAACAGGAAGCAGAGGAATTCTGTTTCCATATTTTAAATGAATGAAAGCAGGTTTTTAGAAAATTTCTAAAGATCTTGTAACAGAATGATTACACTGACTCATTACATAACATTAAAACATAGGTTATTTTTGTGTGTTTATCTGAAGGTGATAGAGCTTGTACAGAAATACGGTCCGAAACGTTGGTCTGTTATTGCCAAGCACTTAAAGGGGAGAATTGGAAAACAATGTAGGGAGAGGTGGCATAACCACTTGAATCCAGAAGTTAAGAAAACCTCCTGGACAGAAGAGGAAGACAGAATTATTTACCAGGCACACAAGAGACTGGGGAACAGATGGGCAGAAATCGCAAAACTACTGCCTGGACGGTAATAATATGTCAAAAAATATATTGATTGGGAAGAATGGGGGAGTGGTTACTGAACAGTCTGTTTTTAAATGTATGGTGAGTGAATTACATTCTATCAATTGTGTTTCATTCATTAAACAAGATCCATAGCTTTTAGAACCGGAGGAGATCTTAGAGTTTATCTGGTTGAGTACTTCCAGAATCCACCCAACAGTGAGCCTTGAGCCAAGTCATTGGACTTTCCTCAGCTTCACTTTCCCCATTTTTAAAAGAAATAATAACTTACTTCACAGGGCAAGTGTGAGTGTCAAGAAAATACATGTCAAAGCACATTGTAAACTACAAAACTCTAAACATATGGAAGGAAACTGAGCTAAACAGTTTGTCCCTGCTCTAAGTTCACATAGCTGCTAAGTGACCAGAAGGACCTCCCATCATCTTCCTGATACCAGCATTTCATTCTACCACGAGGCTTAATTTTTCTCTTTTAAAGAAAGAAATAGTATAGTTATAGAATTATCATACCGCTTCCAGGTTTTTAAATAATGTCAGTGTTATCCTTGGTAATGAAAGAGGCACAAAAATGACCTCATTATGAGGGAAATATATGGAAGCTCATTTTTGCCCCTTTCCCTATTTAAACAGTTATAATAGATTTTTTTGTGTGTGGGGGGGGGGGAGGGGGGGGGGAGCTTACATAAAAATATGCAAGACAAGATATTTTAAATACTTTTGTTCTTGAGCTATTCAAAAGTGGAAGAAGGGTCATTTCAAAAAAGGCATGGCCCTGATGGTTTATCTGGTGCTCTCTTGTGATGTTCCAAGGCATTTCCTCCCTTGTGATTCACTGTGAGCTTGGAGAATTCAGGAGGTTGATAAAAGGATGCCTTCTCTCCCATATGGTCTGAGAGGATATGCTGTTGATTCTTCTAAAAATTTAAGGGGCGATTGAACTTCCTCTTTCTTTAGCATACATTCCCCACCCCCATCGAAATAGTAAAAGGGAGGCTTTTAAAAACGGTTTTTTAAAATTGAGAAACTGTTTTCCTAAGAATTGAAACACTTTAGTAAAAAATGCTTTGCAGTTTGAAAATACATTGGGAGTTAGCATTTCTCCCTTCTGGATCCCGTTTTCCATTCTCACCTCTGTCTGGTTATCAGAATAATTTGAAATGGTTTTCAAAAGATGGGAGTTTTTTTAACTCAAAATATCTGGCCAGTGCTATTGACGATCAAGAGAGGACAGTGAGGTGGCAGTAGCATCATTATCATTCACCCAACTTTACTGAAGATCTGTTGTGATGTCTGAGTTAGCCCCCACTAAGCCAAATCAAAGGAGTAATTTTCTAGGACAGCTGGAACTTTAATTTTAGTCTTATACCAGTCAGAATAGATATGAAAGGTAGTTGTATTGAAAATACTCCTACCAAGGAAACAAATGGTTTAAGGATTTCAATATTTATAGAAAACCACAGCTCCATGTTATGTAATTAAGAGAAATGTATGGAATTTAAATCAGGTAATAGGGAAAGCATAGGAGGTAGAAAAGACTGAAAAGATTAAAAAAGAAATGACACTATTAGTGGGTCAAAAGAAAAGGTCTCTGCTAGGAACAGTTTTCTGTCAATTAACTCTAATCTGAATAGAAGTTTTTGTTTGTGAAATTTGTATGTGATATATTTCTGTGCAGAACTGATAATGCTATCAAGAACCACTGGAATTCTACAATGCGACGGAAGGTGGAGCAGGAAGGTTATCTACAGGAGTCTTCCAAAGCCAGCCAGCCAACGGTGGCCGCAAGTTTCCAGAAGAACAATCATTTGATGGGCTTTGCGCATGCTCCACCATCCGCTCACCTTCCTCCCACTGGACAGCCCTCAGTGAACAATGACTATTCCTATTACCACATTTCTGAAGCACAAAATGTAAGCCTTTCTCGAGAATTTTGTTTAACAAGAGAGATGGTTCTTTTAGCTCCAGGTAATAATATCCTGTAGTTGCATACTTTTCAGAGAGCTTTCATAAACAGGATCATAACATAGGTATTGTTCTTCCTGATATGGTTCTGGGAACAAGGGCATTAAATGGTTTGTCCATGGTTACACAACTCACAGAGACAGTGTAGGTTACCACCCAAGTTGTTAGATTTTGATGCTGCTTCTAATCTAGTTTGGAGTTCAGTGTTTGAATGTAAACTTACTTACCAAGCTGAAGAAGACTGGGGAAATATGGGTGCAGCTGTAGACAAATATTTTTGTGTTCCAAAATGAAAGTGAACATAATGTTACATTTAAAGAGCAGAAAGTTCAGCATTGAAATTTAACAGATAATTGTAAGTTCCATTTTGGTAGTGATGTAACAGAAATGCCCTAATTTATTTATTCTGTGTTTACTTTCATACTCCAAGCAGGAGCAATTTTTTTTTTAATTTTTAATTTTTATTTATTGATTTTAGAGAAAGAAAGGAGGGAGGGAACAAGGGAGGGAGGAGGGGGAGAGAGAAAGAGAGAGAGAGAGAAAGAGAGAGAAAGAAGAGAACATGGATTTGTTTTCTACTGACTTATGCAGTCATTGGTTGATTCTTGTATGGCTCTGACTAGGGATCAAACCAGCAACCTTGGCATATGGGTAGGGACGATGCCCTCCCCAGCCAGGACTTAGGAGCAGTTTTGTGACACTATTCTCTGTGTCTCCTTTATCCTTCTTGAATCAGTGTGCTTCTTTTTTCATTTCATGATATTTATACTTAGGGAAAGAAATATTCTTAGTGGTGGAAAGAGAAGAATAAAGAGAAGAAAAAAAAAAGCAAGAAGCTTTTATCTTTATATTAACAATAAGAAACAGTGAAATTTACCCAAGAATACAGAGCTCATATGCAAATTCTAGGCAAAGCATATTTGTGAAGAGTTTTGACATGTATTTGACTACAGACTTTCCAGAAAGGTCTCAGGTGAATGAACGATCTTAAGCAGTTCTGTGCTATTTACTAAAACTCCTATTATCCCCAGAGAAATGTTTTTATTTATAAATAGCTAGTGCTATGAGTTTTTCCCACCAAAACTCCTTTCATGCATTTATGAATATATTTACATGTATTTTTCTCTAAGGGATACTTCCTGTTGGGATCAATGATGAGCACTTAAAAATTTTTTTTCCACTATGTTGCTTTAGCTATTTAGCCATTATTAAAAGCCAGGCTAAAATTTCAAATCAGAGGAGTATGTGTGTGTGTGTGTGTGTGTGTGTGTGTGTGTGTGTGTGTTTAATTCTTAGTGAATTTGATCAGTGAACTATTCTTTTTCTCAGTCCTCGAGCAAGCCAAGTGCCCTGAAGCATATGTAACCAAGAATGATTCGTCCTTTGTTTTGCCTTTTTTGTGGCTAGGTCTCCAGTCATGTCCCATATCCTGTCGCATTACATGTCAATATAGTCAATGTTCCACAGCCTGCTGCTGCAGCCATTCAGGTAAGACCATTTTAAGGTCATCTCCTAAAGAATCTCACTAGCTGCTTAAGGCGCCATTTTTGAGACATGCTTTATTTCTTTCTTCTAAACACATACTGTCACCTGACCAACTGAAGTTAAAAAAAAAAACAAAAAAAAAAACAGGGACAAGTGGAGAGGTGGGGGAGCTCCAGCCAGCCGCCTGCCAGTCTTCACTTCTCGAGTGGCCCAATTCAGTTGGTATTGGTTTCCCAGCCAGGCTCTTTGGGCTGTGTGTTCCCTCCCTCTTGACTACAGGCCACAACCATTGTGTTTACAGCGTCCATTCAGGCCCTTTTCTTTTTTTCCCTCTCAACTTCTAATTTCAGAGACACTATAATGATGAAGACCCTGAGAAAGAAAAACGAATAAAGGAATTAGAATTGCTCCTAATGTCAACTGAGAATGAGCTCAAAGGACAGCAGGCACTACCGGTAAGAATGTCACTGTGGGCTGAAATGGGAGGAGTGTGGCTATCCCCCAGTGCTCTTCTGTATGTTTTTCCTTCTCTCCTAAATATTACACAGTCAAGACTCTCTATATCTATTTAGTGACATTGAAACATGAGAAGTTTGGGATAATAAAACCCAGTTGGTATAAGAATGCTGACTAACTTGGACGTAGTCCTTTTATGTTGCAATAGAAACTCAACATCTATGTCATCATTGATTTTTTTTTTCTTTAGAAGGACTGGAATTAATTCGAAGACTATCAAAGATAAAATGAATGAAACTATTTTTTACAAAGTTTTGTATCTGTATGATGCCTATTCATTTTATTTTTTTTCTTTATGATGTTTTTTAACCTAGATTTTCATACTTTATCATTTCACACATGTTTTGATGCAGGTTCAGTGTATACATATGAAAAAGATGCATATACTCTCTCCATGAATAACATTAGCTGCTCTCTTTTGTTTGCATATGTGGAAGCCATGCGAACCATTGCTGAATGTCGACATCTTTTTTGAGTGATTGAGCAGCAAACTGGGAAAGTAGCTTGTAATTTGTAACATATGTAATTAACCAGCCAAGTAAATAAAAAGAGATGTGATCCTGAGTAGGTATTCTTAGGAGTAAAAGCTTTTTTGGTGAAACAATACAATTTTTATGTGCTTAGGTTAGTTCGACCACTTTTTAACTCGAGTGTTTTGCAATTTCTCCTGTTTCGTGGTCATGCTGAAAGGAGACTTCTGTTAATTTGCTCTTCTGCTTTCCTAACCACGTTGATTTGGCACTCTTCTCTGCACCGGTGCAATCCTTTGCCTTAGAAGCGGGTAGGAGCAACTAGAATATGTGCAGAGAAAGGCAACTCTGACTCTTGCATTCTCCAGTCTTTATGTAGGTCAGAAAGAATAAGAGAATTCTTCATTCACAGCAAACATGTATGGTCCTCTTGGAAATTATGTTGATAGATTTTTAACTTCATGTGAGAGTCGTGCTTTGTCACATAGTCCCCCCGTTTGCATTTTTAACAAAAAGGATGACAATTAAGGTCACCGTGTAGATGGCAGACTACCCCATTACTAAAAAGCAGGGTCTTGCATTGATGAAAGGAAACATCTTGACAACTGTTTTATAGGCGCAAGTTCTGGATGATGCAACTACTTTTATCTTTCCTCCAACAGCATCTGATACCTTGTGCAACTTCATTGCTAAGTTCCTTCTCCCCACTCTTTCTTTATTCCCCCACCGCCACCCCCCTCCTTAGACACAGAACCACACATGCAGCTACCCCGGGTGGCACAGCACCACCATCGCCGACCACACCAGACCTCATGGAGACAGTGCACCTGTTTCCTGTTTGGAAGAGCACCACTCCACGCCATCTCTGCCGGTGGATCCTGGCTGCTTACCTGAAGAAAGCGCCTCTCCTGCAAGGTGCATGATCGTCCACCAAGGAGCCATTCTGGATAATGTTAAGAACCTCTTAGAATTTGCAGAAACACTTCAATTTATAGATTCTGTAAGTAGATTATTCAGGCATGCTAATGTTTTTAGAAGGGGAGTGAGAACACCCATTTCTCAAATCATTGCCATTTTCTAGAGCAACGATCATGTAACTAACATATATTAATGTAAAGGTAAAATGTTATTTTAATTTTTGTGTGTATTTTTTTTTCAAAGATCTAATTTCATAGGCTACCCAGATAAAAGCTAGCTATTCACACATTTCCTTGAAAATGTGTATTTTTTTAAAATAGTGAAGTTAATGACCTAAATGTAGAGGTTGGGTTATGGGAATGTTTGAGTTATCTTTTTTACTTTTTAATTTATTTCCTCCCTTGTGTTTCTCTAGAACTGTGCCTTGCTTTTGGACAGCACATTCAGAATTATGTTTGCTCAGAGCTTAGAGCAATCTTTCAATATATTTGAAGTGGTAGTAAGTTCATTGGTGGTGCATGGCTTTCTCCACAAAACATTGATTATTGATTACCAGTCTCATTTGTTTCACTGAGACAAACCACCTTCAGTGAAACAGAAGTAGACACTCTGTTCATTTCCACTGTTTCCCAGAGGTGAAAAAGCCTTTCTTGCAGTTCAGCTTCCAATCAGTCCCCATGAGACAGAGGATAAACATTGCCAAGTGTGCATCTAGAAGAAGGTTTCCTTTTGCTTTGGATTGCATGCACATGCTGGAGTACCCTGCATCGCTCATGTAGGACCAGCAGTGTATCCGAACTATTGTTAGTCCTGAAGATGTTAATCAAGGGGGCCTGGCAGGTGTTTTCTTTGCGTTCAGCATCTCTTTCTCAGTGCTGTTTCAGGTGATAGCACATATCATGCACATACTGTCTCAGAGTTCTGCGCCTCCTACATTTTTTCAGGATTCTTCATCATGGTGTGACCTCAGCAATTTCGAACTCTTTGAAGAAGCAGAATTTTCACCTAGCCAACAGCATGCAGGCAAAGCCCTACAGCTCCAGAAAAGAGAGGGCAATGTGAATAGACCCGCAAGAGAGCCTAGTAAACGCACATTGAGCGAGGGTTCACTTGGCCCGCTCAAGTCCCTACAGCCTGCAAGGCACAGCACAATTCCGCTGGTCATCCTTCGAACAAAGCGGCTCCAGGCCAGCCCCTTAGCCACTGGAGACTCTAGGTCCTTCACATTTGCTGACGTCAGCAGTTCAACTCCCAGTCCGTCCCCTGTCAAAAGCCTGTCCTTCTCCCCCTCACAGGTAGTGCACAGTTTCTGCATAGCTGTTACTAATTTCCAACAGACAATCAAGCCTCAATAATCTAGAAACTAATCCTTTAGAATATATGACTAATTATTTTTACCCTCACTGATTTCATTCATTGTTGAATCTGGCTGTTGCTAAGTCATACTGCCTCCCAAAGTTCAGGCTGTCTGAACATTGACTAATGATTTTTGTCATAATTCTCTCTTTTGGGTGATTTGAAAGATGGTTAGTTGCATGAGGTGTGCTATTATTTCTTCCACTACTAGAGTTTAACATTTCTATCCCTTTCTCTACTCCCTTCCCTTCACTCCCTTCCCTTCACTTCCCTTCTGCCTCTTTATTCACTTATGTGATTCACTGACCCATGGGTGGAAGGAAGCAAACTATGCTTGGGTTGCAACTAGAAATTTTAAAGATTCTGTTCCATCTTTAAGTGAAAAAGTTTGGGAAGAGGATGAGGGACAAATGCTTAAGTAAAATAATTTATGTTTTAATTTTAATTTCTCAAATTATGGCATATTGAGTTGTGCCATAAGATTTTAGTAGCATAGTTTTTTTTGGCCAATAAATATTCTTGTTTCATATAGTAATATTTAAAGGCATGGAAATTATAATCCTTTTCAAAAACTTGCCTTCTTAATTATTAAAATAATTGAAATTAATAGATAATTTGGCATTTTAAAACATTTTTCCAATTATGTCTATTGAGTGTTAAGAATAGATTTAAGTATGAACAAATATGATGCACTCACCAAAACAATGTATCTTGCTTTTTGCTTGCATTTTCCAAATTGTGTTCTAGATAATATTCATTCTACAAGTTTTGGATAGATGTTCCAGGAAAACATCCACATATAAAATATATAAGTTTGGGAAACATTGATTCAAGCTAAGTTAGAGATTGATTTTTAATACACTGATGTGCATTGTGAATGTCCAGGAGGAGATTATGATATGTGTGTTTCCCAAATTTATTTTACCTTGGAACTGTTTGAGGAACACCTATTACTTTCCTAGAACAGTGTTTGGCAAATTGCGGCTCACGAGCCACCTGTGGCTCTCGAGACGCGGTTTGCCACTCTGTTGACTAATGAGTTTGCCGACCACTGTCCTAGATCATTAATGTTCTGAGAGACAGTTTATTATTAAAAATGTTCCACCTAATGTAAGCCTTCTATAATAATGGCTCAATGATCATTAAAGAGAGAGAGACAACAGAGTATAAGAGAAAAACAATCATTACTTTCCCCAAATCACTGTAACACTTTTAATCTTCATGAAGAGTGCATCTTATTTCTTTAATGGCAAATGTCATTTATTGAGAATATTTTCTTGGGATTTTGCAATTTTTCCAGCAATGACCCTAGATTTTGGTGGTTTTTTTTTTTTTTTTTAAATCAGACTCCAAATATTGGTGTTCAATTAACATAAAATGATACCCTTGTCCAACAATGCATCTTCATTATTTTATATGGTGGGTCAGTAAAACATATTTGCTTGTTATCACAGTGTGATTTTTAAATTTGGCTCAATAACGAATGACTGTTTGATTGAAGTAATTTTTTTCTTCCCATATTTAGTTCTTAAACACTTCCAGTAATCATGAAAACTTAGACTTGGAAATGCCTTCTTTAACTGCCACCCCTCTTAGTGGTCACAAACTGACTGTTACAACACCATTTCATAGAGACCAGACTGTGAAAGCACAAAAGGAAAATACTATGTAAGTTCTTGGTTCAAGAATAAAATTATTGATCTTATTTACTTACAGTGATTTAAGAGAATATAGTCTCCAATGTCTCAATATAGTCCCCAGTGTCTGGCATCAACCCTGATTTATTTGAATGTGTATAATGTTATGGGTTCACTTGTGTGTATTTAATAATGTATATTCCACATTGATTATGTGCCCTGGGCCTTTTATAACTATCCAGAGGTAGGTGGTGGGACTAAATTAATTTTTGTAGTTTACCTCAAATTTTCCCATATATGCAGAGGTAGTTTTTATATAACTTTTTCCATTCAGTTTTTTTCTGTTTGTTCAATAAGGCCTTTTCTTCTTCACTGAAAATAACATTTTCAGCCTCCTTTTCTCTTTGATTAAACACTTCAGAATAAGAATGAGAATAGTTCTTTTTAGTTCATATTTTTTAATCTTATTTTTTCTTTTGAAATTTATATATATATTAGGACTGCTTCTGACACCTCCAGTAATATTATATGATACTAGCGGCCCGGTGCACAAATTCTTGCACAGGTGGGGTCCCTTGGCCTGGCTGGCAATTGGGGCCAATGGGCAATGGGGGGGGGGGGGAGACAGCTGGCCCCGGGATGTTGGCCAGCTGCAGGACGTTGACTGTGGGAGCACTGACTACCATGGGACAGCTCCTGCATTGAGCATTTGCTCCCTGGTGGTCAGTGTACATCACAGCAACTGGTCAACCAGTTGTTCAGTTGTTCAGTCCCTTAGGCTTTTATATATAGAGAGATTATAGGAGTGATTAAGCAATCATTTATATTTAATAAAGGCTTAACCAATTCAAATAAAAGGCAGAGAACATCAATATGAGTTATAATCAGCCTTTAATCTTATTATTTCCAAGTATAATAAGAAGGTTAAAATATTAACATGTTTTCTACTGTGGGCCCTGTTTTAATAATAGGTGAAATGTATTTGTAAATGACATCAGATCTTCACAATGCTTATGATCATTATAGAAAACCAGGAGCAGGCATTACATGTGTTTTCAGAATGATGGATGTACATAATATCTCTCTCTCTTTTTTTTAAACAATACTTGTGTGATTAATCAGCACACCCAATTCCATACCAATAACATAGTCTTTTATTACGTAGAAAAATATTAAATGTAATAGGGAGAGCAGTGTGAGGGATGTATGTTCTTGTGCATTGAACCAACACTTGTTTTCTTGCTAAAGTTTCAGAACTCCAGCTATCAAAAAGTCAATCCTAGAAAGCTCTCCCAGAACCCCTACACCATTTAAACATGCACTTGCAGCTCAAGAAATGAAATATGGCCCCCTGAAGATGCTAGTAAGTGTTTGCAAAATTCTTGGGTTAGTTGGTTTGTTAGTTTAGGCAGAACTTTTCCTCTGATGCAAACATGCCCACTCTTCTCTTCAGCCTCAGACACCATCTCATCTAGTAGAAGATCTGCAGGATGTGATCAAACAGGAATCTGATGAATCTGGAATTGTCACTGAGTTTCAAGGAAATGGACCTTTACTGAAGAAGATCAAACAAGAGGTAAGCTTGCGATCCTTTGAAAGGAATAGGCTGCGAATGCTGTTCCCTTTGTTCCTTATTGACAAGTCTGCATCATCACTGTGGAACAATACCACTTTTCTTACCAAGGTTTTCATACCAGAGGCAGTTCAGATTTGGGGTCAGACTGCAGACATGTGGCCTGTCATTTGGGAAGCCAAGCCACTTCTGTCTACTTCATGTTTGAACAAAAAACATGCTGGAGAGGATAAAGGAATGAGAAGGAAGGAGCTTTTTACTTATTTTTGTCTCTGGCTACATAGAGAGATTATTGACACATATATATTTAATTTTCAGATGTCATGGAGAACTGAAATTAAAATAATAGTATCTTTAATTCATGGTGTAAAAGAAAGAGAATCTAAATTGCAAGATTGAAGTTTGAGCTTGGTAGCAAGAAACGTTTCTAACAGCTTAGATATGGTGCCTTTTGAATTTATTTTCATATAAGGATAAATAATTAGGAGACTGGCTAGATATTCACTCGTTTTCAGCCTAATTGAGATGTAATTGACAAGTAAAATTGTAAATTGTTTAAAGTGTACAAACGTGAGGATTTGATATATGTATACATTGTGAAAGAATGCTCCCTCATTGAGTTAGTTAACACATCCATCGCCTTACATATTTGCCCTTATAGGTGAGAAAATTTCAACTCTGCTTCCTTAGCAGATTTGGATTATACAATACAGTGACATCAACTACAGTTACCATGCTACACATGAGCCTCTCAGAGCCTATTCATTTTACAGAAATTTACTCTTGAGTAGAGCTGTTTTCTGGGAAATTCTGATTCTAGAAACAACAAAGCACTTCCTGTTTGCTTTTAGGTGGAATCTCCAACTGATAAAGCAGGAAACTTCTTCTGCTCCAACCACTGGGAAGGAGAGAGTCTGAACACTCAGCTGTTCACACAGGCATCACCTGTGGCAGATGTGCCAGTAAGTACACGTCCATGGGATGAGATGTTGGTGCGCACAGGATTCTGTGTGTGGCATGTGGGCTGCTGTGGTTTCAGCACTCCTCAATGCGTCATTGGAATATTCTCTTGCATGAGCATTTTCTTACAGTTATTAATGTTGAACATAAGGTAGAGATTTGTTTATATATTGGAAGTAGATTCTATTCCATTGCAGACTTTGTCATTATTTGTTTTCTTAGGATTTGAATGTCCTTGCCATTTAAAAAATCTGCTGTATGAACATAGGCATTTTCCATGAAAACAGATTGTTATTTTTTTTAATTTTCATTTTATTTATCTGCCTTTTAAATGTAGTATTTCCTTGTTAAGTTGTCACCTGGTTGGTTCTGTGTAGCATGTGGCATAGTGTTATAGTGTCTATAGTCGATGCCCTTTATTGCACCCTATACTGGATTGCTTTGGTTACCACCATTTTTTAAAATAGATTTTATTTTTTTGTAGTAGTTTTGGCTCATAACAAAGTTGAGCAGAAGGAACAGAGATTTCCCATAAACACACTGTCCCCACACATGCACAGTCTCCCTCATTATCAACCTCCCCCACTAGAGTGATACATTTGTTACAGTTATCACCCGAAGTCCATAGTTTATATCAGGGCTCACTCTTGGTGTTGTAAATTTTATGGGTTTAGATAAATTTATGACATGTACCCACCATTATAGTATCACACAGAGTAGTTTCACTAAAAATTCTTTATGCTCCACCTATTTGTCCCTTCTTCCCCCTCAGCCCTTGGCAACCAACGGATCTTTTTACTGTCTCCTGGGTTTTGCTTTTTCCCTGAGTGTCATATAGTTGGAATCTTACAAAATGTAGCCTTTTTAGACTGGCTTCTTTCACTTAATAATATGTGCTTTTGTTTCCTTCATGTCTTTTCATGGCTTGAAGGCTCATTTCTTTCTTTTTTTTTTTTTTTTAGCACCAGTTACCACCATTTTTTAAAGTTTCTAATTTGTAAATGATTGTCCTTTACGATGAATCAAAGCTATTAACAATGGCTAATATTCTTTCAATGTGCACAAAGTGATGAGTACTATTCTAAGAGCTTTAGATACATTAACTCATTTAATGCTCTCCACATCCTTACAAGGTTGATAACATTATTTCCATTATACCAGCTGAGAAACTGAGGCACCGGGAGGCTTAGTCACTTGTTCAAGATCATACAGCTAATAAGTGGGGTTCAGGGTTAAAACTCAGAAAGTCTAATTTTAAATTACATACTTTTAACCATTGTAGTATACTGCCACTAATTTGTACCTCTGAAGTATTTTTGTGTCAATACATAAAATAAGCAGTTCTCTTACTAGAGATTAGTAAAACTTTCATTTTTAAAGATGTATTTAATAATTTATTTAGTAGATGTTTTCTGAGTGCCTAAGTCATGCCTAGCTTTTTTTCTTATTGATATTGGCTGCAGTGGGATTGGGGTTAGTACATAGTTGAGTTCTCCTTTTTGCTCATTGAGAAGATAATTTCTGGCAGATACCTGCAGTTCCCCCCTCTAATGTGTATCATCTCATAGCAGTCTACTCACTGTAGTGTAAGAATTGTGTTGGCTTTCATATTATCCAACTTCATTTGAATTTCAAATTATTCTCTCTTTTCTTTAGAATATTCTTACAAGTTCCGTTTTAATGACGCCAGTATCAGAAGATGAAGACAATGTCCTCAAAGCTTTCACAGTACCTAAAAACAGGTCCCTGGCAAGTCCCTTGCAGGTAATTACCATCCCAACATTGGTATCTTAAAAGTCATTCCCTAGGGGTGAGGGCTGGGCAGAGCCTGTCCCTCCCCCTGCCCAGGCCTGGGTGCAACTGGCAACAATTGAGATGGACTATCCAACCCCAATCAGGACTCCTCTTTAATGTGGGGTGAGGAGGACCCCTGTGAGCTACTGAAGTAAAGTCCACTTTGACAATCAATCAGTCAGTCCATTGGTCGATAATCAATCCTTTGATCAGAGTTTTTAGACCTAGAGGAATGGTACTTTTAAACAACTCTTGATATAAAAACTCTGTTGTGGCTTAGTGGTTGAGCATCAACCTTTGAACCAGGAGGTCAGGGTTCGATTCCCAGTCAGGGCACATGCCTGGGTTGCAGGCTCAATCCCCTGAGCATGAGTATGGGGCATGCAGGACACAGCTGATCAATGACTCTTTCTCATTACTGATGTTTCTATCTCCCCTTCTCTTTTCCTCTCTGAAATCAATAAAAATGTATGTTCAAAAAATTAAAAATTCCTTGCTGCCACTCATATGAGACATGCTGGACATTTTTATTAGAGCAGGTTCCCAATGCATGATGAGATGAAACATTTCTTACTGTGTCTGAGACTAAGATCATATATTACACATGTGTCAATATCTCCTCTGCTTTTAAAAATTCTATTAAGTTCTTTGGTATAGTTTACTTTTTGTTCTGAAAATTTTTTATGTTCTATCACTAAGCCATCAGCTCAAGCTGTTATTTAGAGTTTAAATGGAGTTTGAAATGAGCTAGCTAAAAAAAAAAAAAATTATGACATATTTAACTATGAGAATAAGAAAGTCAGGTGTCAATATTACGGCGCTAACCTGCTATTGCATTTTTCAAAACTCAGTATGGAACTTTTTTATCAGTATATTTATATTTTATTTCAAGAAAACATTACTTATTTTTGAAATTCAAAATTAAGTAGTAGCTCTGTTTTATTAATCTACTAGAGGCCTGGTGCATGAAAATTCATGTACTGAAGGGGAGATCCCTCAGTCCAGCCTGCCCTCTCTCACAGTCCAAGAGCTCTCAGGGGTGGGAGGTGACCCGGCGATCAGGGGAAGGCAATGCCCCATCACACCTCTGCTGCTGCCACTGCCGGCAGCACAAGCCTTGGCTGGCCCTGGCTGCCTGAGTCTCAGGTGGCCCTGGGTGGCCTGGCAGCTGCCATCTGAGGCTTGCTTGTGCCTTTGGCCAGCCCTGGGCAGCTGGGGGGTTGAGGGGACAGTGGGGCTGAGTGAATTGGACGCTGCCATGTTGTGGCTGCGGGTGCTGCTATATTTGAGGGTGTGGCACTCAATTAGCATATTCCCTCCTTATTAGCTGTGGGTGCTGCCATCTTTGCAATGGCGAGAGGATCAATTAGCATTTTCCCTCTTTATTAAATAGGATATTTCCAGCATGTTAACAAGTCCTATCTGGAACTCTAGCAATTCTGACATCTGTATATTAAGATTAAGCCAGCTATGCACATCCATCGGTGAAGGTGGTATTTGTCAGTTCTACTAAACTGAATAACTGAGACCTGAAAGTTAATTTTAGAGTCAATATTTCTGTCTGCACTATATGATTTATGGATTTACACTGCTCAGATTTACTTTAATAACCTGTTATAATAGGTAACCAATTCATTTTAAGAAATATTTGTTGAATGAATCCTACACACCAAATATCTCCTTTGTTTTATGACATGAAGATCTAGTTTCAGATACCACAGAAATACAGTGATTTCTAAAATGCTTCAAACTTTTATGATAAAAATTGAAAAATGCATCAAATAATTCTAAATATTTAACACATATTACCTATACTTCATATAATCCTAGTTCAACAATATATAGGTTTTTATGCAATTTGGTAATTTTGTTTGTTTAAAACAGTGCTTTATCATATGTATCCATTAATATTTTGATCTAATGAGGCAGATCTCCCATGGATGGTATTATTGAACATATTGTGCCTTTGTTAAATGATGTGGCTATTTGATTTAAAAGTACTTTATATACATCAAACTTCTATAAACTTTATTTACACTAACAATAAGTCCAATATTAAGTGAGATTTTAGCAAACTACATATTTTTATCATAGTGCTCTTAATTGAAACAACCAACTATGACTCCTACAGTATTTTAAAATTTTGAGACTTCTAAAATATTTGCTATTTGTAATAGTGCAGTGTTATATAACTATTATCTATCCATCTAATTGTCTAAATAACTTTCCTTAGATATAAGAACAGTTTATTGAAGACTACATAATTGTGCCATCTGGCTTCTGTCATTTCAGTTTTAATCATCCCTGGCTTTATTATGGCAGTAACTCTTTACACAACCAATTACTGTTATTGAGGCCCAGATACTGGGCCTTAATGTTCAGCTTTTTATGTACATATAAATGCACATGCTTATACAGAGATATGTGTAAATACATGTGATATTTAAAAACTAGAACTGCAAGAAGCTATGTGTTTACCATTTCATTATGATATATCTCAAACATACATTGACATATAACAAATATTCTATGAATTAGATTTAATAATTACTAACACTTTGCCATATATACTCCATGCATTTTTTTATGAAGCAATCTAAAATTCCAGACAATGCAACATTTTATTCTCATGTATCTCTAAAAGTAAGATCATTTCTATATATATCTTAATACTATGATGATGACATTATTAACAATACTTCCTTGATATTCTAATACCTGGGCTATATTTAAATTTCCCCACAAATTCAGAAAAGAATATTTTTATTGTTTGTTTGATCAACCTGTTTCACAGGTTGCATTTGGTGTTTAAGTCTCTTATATTTCTCTTAATCTTTTGACCAGTAGTGTCCAATAGAACCTATACCATGATGAAAATGTTCCATATGCTGCTGTCATGTGTGGCTAGTGCTTTTGAGGAACAGAATTTTCCATTTTATTTCATTCAAATGGCTTTAATTTAATAGCCGCATTTCTTCCTCCCTTGCTAGAAACCAACCATTTCCCCAAGGTTGGCCATTTTAGTGGGAAAGTCTGTAGAGACCAGTCAGGGTACTAAATATGCCTATTTCTTACATGCATTGAGAAGCAATAAACTTTATAAATCAGAACTCTCCATGTATCTCCTAACACATAAACTAGAATCCGTAAATAGCGGCAATTATTAGCCATTATGCACAAATAACATTATTTATGTTGAATATTTGCCAAAAGTAGTTTGCGGCAGCTACATAATCTTATAATTATTGGGTTTCTTGTTTGTTGTTAAGGTGCTTTCATTTTAAATTATAAAAGCAGACAGGGAACCATAATATAAATGTTCTGAGACACATGTCTTTTATGTAGCTTAAAATATGTGAGATTTTCACCTTAGACCATTCTCCTCACATTGTGTGGGGGTAGAGAATGGAGTCTAAAAGTTCAAAAATGATCACAGTGTGGAAGTACAAATTCAGCCTAGAAAGCTTGAGCTGTTCAAAAGTTACCCTGAGAGAGCCTGCAGCGTACACACACACACACACACACACACACGCACACACACGTACACACACACTCCCTCCTTGGCAAGAAGAAAAGAGATGCCTATTTTTCTCAATATGCTTTCAATTTGCTTTACATTTTTAAATAAATACATTTTATTACCAAGCATTTCTTAAGATCCACATTCTTATTAGTAGATCTGAAACTGTACTTAAGTTATAAGCCTTCTGAACTTCTGTATTTTTCTCTTAAATTATAATTTCCTTTTATTCCTATTTAAAACCCAAGTGTAAAAGATGTATTCATATGCTTTTTACTCACTCACTTTCCTCTTTTCGGTAACCACAGAATGACAGCCTTAAATTTTAATTTCCTGACTTGGCTTGTCATGGCCTTACTTTTCTAAAGAGTGAGTTTAAGTCAATTTCTCAAGCCATTATAATTTAAACACATTTGCACAGCATCAAAAAAATCTTAAAATATTATTGCAAACAATTAAAGCTCACTTTTTTCAGCATCACATGTTTTGGATTGCTCCTATTTTTATATAAATTACTTATGATTTTTTTTAATAGGGTAAAACCTTTTTGTATGATCAGCGTTGCTGAGCCATGTAATAAATTACCATGCACCTAGCAGGAACCTGGGTTCTATCTAGACACCATCCTTTTCTAAGTGCATGCATGTCTTTAATTCATTAACCTTTTCAGATCAAAATGCTCTTGTCTGAAAACTAGGACCATGGCACATCCTCCACTCATCCCACTTCATAGGTTGCTATGAAGTTCAAGTGGACATTATAATGCTATCAAAATGGCAGCTCACTTACCAGTGGACATAGATGGTGTCTGTTATTAGGGAAAGGGCATGTGCAATTCTGTCCTTAAAAACAGACAAGGAGGCCTCACTAACAACCAGTCTTCTTGGCCTGTGGTGTATTATTTCCTCTAGCGCACTCTGTCTCATTCCTTGTTCCACTCACGCAGAATTGTGTCAGTGGGTCACAAAAGAAAGAGCTGATTCAACTGATTCCTGAAATAGAGGTAGTCAGATCTCATTGGTGTTATGGAAATGAAACAACTGATTTACTGGTTTTCTTTATTTTTCTTCTGTTACTTGTGCTGGCATGTCAACAGATATGAAAACAGCCTGTCTCCACGTGACATTGAGCTTTCCGGGCATTCTTTAGAACAGTGTGTTGTCATATATGTTCATATTCATTTGGTTCTTCCTTTGGGTCACTTTTTCCCACTTGTTCTGGCAAGAGTTTTGCATAACTGTCAGCAGTATTCCAGCAACCTGCTTTTAAGATATGTTATATAATAAGCCAGATTTGCGGGTAGGGAGAGGAATGGGGGGAAAGGGCGGATAAATGGTGATGGAATGAGACTTGACTTTGGTTGGTGAACCCACAGTGCAATATACACATAATGTATTATAGAGTTGTACATGTAAAACCTACTTAATTTCATTAACTAATGTCACCTTAA